TAGAGACTTCTGGGAGGATTCTTCGCACAGCATTGATTATTTCCTGGTTCGCTGTGATGATTTCACACTTGGAGGGATTGAGGATGAGTCCCAAGTCTTCTCCCTGTGTTTTCACCAGTTGTAGGTCCCCTACCAGGGACTCTTCAGTACCTGCCAGAGTGCCATCATCCAGGTACCAGATGTTGAGCTCGCTGCGTAGGCTGGAAGTTAGTTCTCTTACTGCCAAGCAGAAGAGAAGCGGAGCTAGTGGGTCACCCTGCTGAACACCTTCTGATGATTGAATTTCATGTTCTCCAAACAAAAGAATTGAAGGGGTATATATATATATATATATATATATATATATATATATATATATATATATATATATATATATATATATATATATATATATATGTGTGTGTGTGTGTGTGTGTGTGTGTGTGTGTGTGTGTGTGTGTGTGTGTGTGGTGTGTTAACCCCAATTTCTTTTCAATATTTTAACTCATGTTTATTTTTAATGCAGGTCAAACAAGTTTTTGGTAACTAGTGTGAAAACTGCTTCACACTTTTTCCCCTAGAGGGATGCTCCTTGACCCCTCTGAGAGGCTCTTCTTCCAAGGAACTGTGCCTGACTTCTCCTTTCAAGGATTGAACGTGACTGCTTCCCATTCCTCCAAGGCTCTGTATGACCCCTACGAGTTTAGTGCTTTCCTTAAATATAATAATAATAATAAATACAATAATCATACAAATAATAATAATAATAATAATAATAATAATAATAATAATAATAATAATAATAATAATAATAATAATAATAATAATAATAATAATAGGAGTAATTATGATTATTATTATTATTATTATATATTATTATTATTATTATTATTATTATTATTATTATTATTATTATTAATTATTATTATTATTATTATTATTATTATTATTATTTAGCAAAACCACTATTTTGTTGTGTAAAGTTGAGATTCTATTAATAACAGATACAGCTTAGCGAACAATTTGATACACTGTACGTCAAAGCAGATGTAGATAAATGCATTTTGGTAGCCAGCTTGACAAACTGGTCTGTAGATAGCCAGCTTGACGTCCTGATCCGTCGTGTTAGCCAGCTTGACGTCCTGATCCGTCATGGTAGCCAGCTTGACGTCCTGATCCGTCATGGTAGCCAGCTTAACGTCCTTCAGCTTACAGTTGTGAGTTCTCTGGTAAACGTGTTTTTGTATACTCAGCCAGTTGTACTTGCGGGAGTTGGGGTACAGTTCCTGGAACCCCTGCCTCTCAACATTCATCCAACAAATATATTGGAGCTCTAACTTCCTGGGCTGTGTCATAACTAATCTTAAATACACGTACAGAATGTGCTTCCACTGTGTAATTAACAGTAGCAGAGCCATCCATGATCGTGTCTCCCATGTTCAATCAACTGATCATCATATAATATTTCAAAATTTACGGTGAATGTAGCACTTGAAACCTCCGATTTCAATTCATCCCACTGATCTACCAGTCTGTTTGAGAAGAAAGTTTTTCAGTGTCCTTTCAACTCTTTCGTTTTCTCTAATATACAAGTGTGCTCTCTTATATCTGCTGCCGTTACTGGGATGTCTATATCAATTCCTTCAGTTACTTTTATGTCTTGACTTGTGATTATCATGTCTTCTTCTCCTGCTGTCACAGAACCTGGACACCTTTACATTTTTAACCTTTCATCATAACTGATCTTTTTAATTTTATTAGCGTTTTTGTAGCTCCTCTATAATTTTTTTTAAGCTGTGCTGGTAATGTTTTAGGTGTGGACACGACACAACCACTCCATATTCCATACTCCAATCTTGGGTTCATACACACACACACACTCTCTCTCTCTCTCTCTCTCTCTCTCTCTCTCTCACACACACACACACACACACACACACACATATATATATATATATATATATATATAATATATATATATATATATATATAATATATATATATATATATATATATATATATCTATCTATCTATCTATATATATATATATATATATATATATATATATATATATATATATATATATATATATATATATATATATATATATATATATATATATATAATATATATATAAAACGAGAGAGAAAGAGAGAGAGAGAAACGCTTTGGCCGTTTCCCATCATGGCACGGTGGCCCGAAAAAGAACGTTCACCATCATACACTCCATCTCTGTCTTGCCAAAGGCGCGTTTACACTACGGTTATAAAACTGCAACAGTAACACCCCACCGTCAGATTGCAGACACTGTAGTTCCCATCTCCAGGACTCAAGTCCGGCCTGCCGGTTTCCTTGAATCCCTTCATAAATGTTACCTTGTTCACGCTCCAACAGTACATCAACTCCTAAAATCCATTCGCTCCTATCTAACACGCTCACGCATGCTTGCTAGAAGTCCAAGCCCCTCTCACACAAAACCCTCTTTATCCCCTCGATCCAACCTTTCGTACCCCGATCTCTACCCCGCTTTCCCTCCACTTCACAATTATACACTCTCGAAGTCATTCTATTTTGTTTCATCCTCTCTACATGTCCTAACCACCTCAACAACCCCTCTTCAGCTCTCAGGATAATAGGGTTGGTGATCCCGCACCTCCTAATTTCCAAACTACGAATTCTCTGCATTATATTTAAACTACACATTGCCCTCAGACACGACATCTCCACTGCCTGCAGCCTTCTCGTTGCAACATTCACCACCCATGCTTCACAACCATATAAGAGTGTTGGTATAACTATACCTTCATACATTCCCTTCTCCGCATCAATGGACAAAGTTTTTTGTCGTCACAGACTCCTAAGTGCATCATTCACCTTTATCCCCTCATCAGTTTTGTGATTCACCTCATCCTATTTTTTTTGTTATCCACACCATCTTACTCTTTCCTATATTCACTTTTAATTTTCTTCTTTTGCATACCCTAACAAATTCATCCATCAACTTCTCTTCAGAATCTCCCAAAAGCAAAGCGTCATCAGCAAAGAGCAACTGTGACAACTCCCACTTTGTGTTTGATTCTTAATCTTTTAACTCCACACCTCTTGCCAAGACCCTCGCATTCACTTCTCTTACAACTGTATCTGTAAATGTATTGAACAACAATGGTGACATTACCATATATATATATATATATATATATATATATATATATATATATATATATATATATATATATATATATATATATACAGAGAGAGAGAGAGAGAGAGATTGAGAGAGCAAAAGTAATAATAAAGCATGTTAATATATTGTAAAGTAAATATAAATACTATACAAATTAAGAAATAAAATTATTAAATCGGAACACGAAGTGTTAGTTAATGTAAGTATAGAGAGAGTGACCGACGTTGTAATTAACGTAGTTGATGTCTGTCTTCACACACAAACGTAAGTAGCTGATAATTATGACGCTCACTGAATTAGACGACTGATGAGTGAGATGGCTCATGGATAATATTATTACTGGGTAACATGAATGCTGTTTGTTGGGTAAGATGATGCTGTTTGTTGGAAAGATGATCGTTGAGTAAGATGACTCCTGGCTAAGATGACTTCTGGCTAAGATGACGCCTGGCTAAGATGATTCCTGGCTAAGATGACTCTTGGCTAAGATAACTCCAGGGCAAGATGACTCCTAGGTAACATAATTGCTAGGTAAGATGTTAGCCCAGTAAGATGATCGCTGGATAAGGCGAGATCTAGGTAAGACGGTAGCTAAGTAAGAGGAAAACCGGTGTTAGATGACTGCTAGGTTACCTGTTAGCTAAGAAGATAACTAACTAAGATAATTCCTGGATGACATAGGCAAGATGGTCGATAAGTTTCCAATCATATCTGAAACTGACAAACAAAATACTGTACACAAGTGTAAACTTGTGTACAGTATTCCTGTGAGGCTCCTGAAATGTATTAACAATCATATATTATCAACGATAGCTTCTTTATTTAAGACTCTCATCATTGCTACCTAATTCACGGTTATATATGACATAATAGGCTTTATTTTAGTAATGAAATAAATTTATGAGACGGATGTTCAGTGCATAGTCAAGGTTTTATTATTGCCTTCTATTTATCTCCGTCTTCTTTGCTCCTTTCTTCACCCATACGGGCTTTTTATTGTAATGAAAATGTGACGGGATAATGCAAGAGACACACAAAAAAAATATATGACATACTTTAAATTGCATTTTTAAAAATTAAATTATTCACTTGTTTCTTATGTATGATTTCGTAATTCAAGTTACTAACGCTTTATCAGTGCGAGATGCGCTTAGCTGAACGTGTACGTATGTGTAAAGTGTATAATGTGTATAAATATAATTATCTGAACGTATGTGTTTATATTTTAAGATGTATTTATGTATCTGAACGTATGTGTGTATTGTGATTATACATATAATTAGTATTGCGGACAGGTTTAAGCATGCCCATCCTGGTGTCGTGGGTACGTACGTAACCAGTTGTACCTTGTGCTCTACCTGCAGCTTTACCTACACCTGTTACTTGTACCCATACCTCTACCCCCTCCACCTGTGCCTCTGTACCTGCACCTGTACTTGCACCCATGTCTCTGTACCTCCACCTGTACTTGTACCCATGCCTCTGTACCTCCATCTGTTACTTGTACCCATGCCTCTGTACCTCCACCTGTACTTGTACCCATGCCTCTGTACCTCCACCTGTACTTGTACCCATGCCTCTGTACCTCCACCTGTACTTGTACCCATGCCTCTGTACCTCTATGTGTACTTAACCTGAATTTAAACTTCTACGTGCCTTTGTAACTGTATCTGTACCTGTGTTTGTATCTGTTTTCATATCCTTCTTTGTGACTGTTATTAAAGTGTTAATGTGTGCTATTTCACTAATACTGATACAATATACCAGTCTCTTATACAGCTCCTGTATCTGTCTGAGGTGATCTTTATTAAATATATGGATGAACTGCGAGACGTACCTTGACGACGGTGGACGAAGATGAGATGATAGCGGTCCTTTGTGAGCCTGGACGGACACTGATACCAAGCTGGGTGCACTAGCTGGGACGAAGGCGAAGCCGGAAGACAGACGGGGAAGGATGCCAACCTTGTGGTCTGAGGCTCCGCCTACTTGCCCTTCACAGAGCCTGAACCTCTGGTCCCGGGGTTACGCGTAGCCAGCTGAGTTCAGGTATCCCAAGGTCTTATGTTATGGAGGTAAGTTAAGCAAGACAAGTTTAGCCTCTGTCTTATGTTTTGAAAGCTTGTAATAACGAGGTAGCTGAGAAAACAGGAACTGATATTGTTTTAAATTTTGTTGCGCTTTTTATTAATCTGTCAATCGATTCACAGCTATTGTTGAAAAAAAGCACCATCTCCCTCACGTAACTGAAACAGAAATACGATATGTCAAATAAAAACCAGCTCACTCAATTCAGACCCTCTTCTTCTTTATCGTTAGATGATTTTCATTTTTATGGTTCCTTAACTCAAGGTCATTTTATAAACACCGGCCATCTTGCAGTGTGAGAGAAAGGCAGAAAAAAGGAAGCACATGCACCGTCATTCTGTAGCTGCCTCGCCTGAAGTGCACAGATACTACAACTTAATGACGCTCGGAGCCTCAACATTCCCCGTCTATTCTTCAAAGTGTTGGTACTGTACTTCCCTCCTCCAGGACTAGTCTGCTAATCACTCTTTAATCACTATTTAATAATGACAAAAAATCAATATCATTACCGTAAATCACATGGCTTTCTCAGCTGGAGTGAGAAAGGTACGAGTTAATCACCACCACGAAGTATTGCCTAACCTTTGTTTATCGAACCCAAATGACTAACACCTGACCTCATTTCATTCGAAGCGGAGAGTTTGAGATTTATTATTCTCAGTTCTTATAACTCTATTGTCTAACCTTTTGGCAAGATGATTATTGAAGTGGGTGTGGATCATCTTGTCCCAATAAAAATATCCTTTAAATAAGTTCAAGCTTAGAACTGGTTTTATGTAAGTGAGAGATCCGAACACCAATGTTCAATTATCAAAATCTATATTGTGGTCAGAGTCATGTGTATGACATAAATCACCACTGCCCCCCCTCCTCCCCCCACCCTCCCTTCTACCATCCTTTTGGGGTTTAAACACACTTCTTCAGGAGGATGTTGGAAAGAGCAGTGTCCTCTGCAACAAAAATTACAAGTGAGATAAGTATCATATAATAACGGAAATTAGATCAGTTGATAGATATGTTAATTAAACATTCGACATACATGCTTAATGCAGTAAATATTTAAGGACAAAAACTGGATCTGGTGTGCATCACAACACACTGTATGAGCGCTGAGACCAGGAAGATTACTATACAGTAGAGATGACTGAGAGCAAACGTACTCGCCAAAGTGATAGATTCTTGAGCTCCAGCCCCGTGTGGAATGAACCAGATCCTTCAAAGGAAGAGAGTTCGGACGACAAGTTGGTCAGTGGTCGCCAGAAGCGCTCCGGCTTAAAGGAACAAGTGAATAAGTTTTTCGAAGATTACAGCAAAGGTGCGAGACGTGGAGCGAGGTGTCCAGGATTACTGATCAGTAAACCAGGAGTATGATATGAGGACGCAGCGAATATATCGTAGAACTTACACCAACCTGCAGAACACATGATTAACACATGTTTCCCCCCCCCCCCCCTCCAAAAAATGAGCATAATATATTGGCACAGACACGTGCCATAAACTACAAAACATACAGCACTAATAAAGATACTGTAGAATATATACAAATACAATTAATGGGAAACGAGAATTTTGCGAATAAACATGAGATTTGGGCCAAATAAGACATGTCAAGTACTGTAATCAGTATGATAAGGGATTAGTTTACAAGCAGCGTTAAAATCCCCAAACGTGCTAGAAAATGCACTATCAGGTCATCACTGTTTAAAGTTGGTGAACAGTAACCCGTATGACTGTCTTGACATGCGTCAGTTGTATAGAGAGATGCAGAAACTGGATATGAAACAGGAAGAAATGTACGTATGCAGCACATGGAAGATACAGAATCTAAACATCGAATAAACTATTGGTAAAGATAACTGAAGAATATTTTTGCTGAAGATAACAAAAAAAGCACAATAACGTGACTGGAACAATACACAAATAACCCGCACATAAAAGAATGGAGCTTACGACGACGTTTCGGTCCGATTTGGACCGAAACGTCTCTCTTCCTTTTTTCCTATTACCTCTCTTATTCCGTCCCGGTTTGCTTACCTATATATAATCCCCCCTTTTCTCCTTTTTGTTAGTGTGACTTTGTAAATGGTCCAAGTCGCACCGAAACGTCATTGTAAGCTCCTCTCCTCTATGTGCGGGTTATTTGAGTATTTTTGCTGGAGGTCTTCGCGAGGCTCTCAAGTAACGACGACCGATACAACTTTGACTTTTCAGTATTATATACTGACAAGAATGTTATTAAGACACAACACGCATTTCATGCATTTTATTGAGACGTTTCGTCTACCAGAGTCTCGTCCCTGATGAACGAAACGTCTTCTCAATAAAGTACCATAAAGCGCATATTCCGTCTTAACGTAACGTTGACTTGACGTTAAGCGAGCGTTAGGTAGCTGTCAAATGATCGATCAAAAAATCTGCTCCACATCCAAATTTTTCACAGCCCCAAGACATGGACAGCTAAGTAACGAGATGTGTAATTACGATTTCGTGAGTCAGTTAAATTTATAGTTAAGTGGGAGTCACCTGGTAGTCAAGCTCCTTGCAGCACGACAGTAGACAAGTGAGAATCACCTGGTAGTCAAGCTTCTTGCAGCACGACAGTAGACAGGTGAGAGTCACCTTGTAGTCAAGCTCTCTGCAGCATGACAGTAGACAAGTGAGAGTCACCTGGTAGTCAAGCTCCTTACAGCGTGACAGTAGACAAGTGAGAGTCACCTGGTAGTCAAGCTTCTTGCAGCACGACAGTAGACAAGTGAGTCACCTGGCAGTAAAGCTTCTTGCAGCACGACAGTAGTCAAGTGAGAGTCACCTGGTAGTCAAATTTCTTGCAGCACGACAGTAGACAAGTGAGAATCACCTGGAAGTCAAGCTTCTTGCAGCACGACAGTAGTCAAGTGAGAGTCATCTGGTAGTCAAGTTTCTTGGAGCACGACAGTAGACAGGTGAGAGTCACCTGGTAGTCAAGCTTTTTGCAGCACGACAGTAGACAAATGAGAGTAACCTGGTAGTCAAGCTTCTTGGAGCACGACAGTAGACAAGCGGACAAGCGAGAGTCACCTGGTAGTCAAGCTTCTTGCAGCACGACAGTAGACAAGTTAGTCATCTGGTAGTCAAGCTTCTTGCAGCACGACAGTAGACAAGAGAGAGTTACCTGGTAGTCAAGCTTCTTGCAGCACGACAGTAGACAAGTGAGAGTCACCTGGCAGTCAAGCTTCTTGCAGCACGACAGTAGACAAGAAAGAGTTACCTGGTAGTCAAGCTTCTTGCAGCACGACAGTAGATAAGTGAGAGTCACCTGGTAGTCAAGCTTCTTTCAGCACGACAGTAGACAAGTGAGAGTCACCTGGTAGTCAATCTTCTTGTAGCGCGACAGTAGTCATGTGAGAGTCACCTGGCAGTCAAGCTTCTTGCAGCACGACAGTAGTAAGTGAGAGTCACCTTGTAGTCAAGCTTCTTGCAGCACGACAGTAGTCAAGTGAGAGTCCCCTGGCAGTCAAGCTACTTGCAGCATGACAGTAGACAAGTGAGAGTCACCCGGTAGTCAAGCTTCTTGCAGCACGACAGTTGACAAGTGAGAGTCACCTGGTAGTCAAGCTTCTTTCAGCACGACAGTAGTCAAGTGAGAGTCACCTGGTAGTCAAGCTTCTTGCAGCACGACAATGTTAATACCCAAAAACTAGACAACCAGAGAGCCCTGGCGATAGACCACTCACAATACCCAGTACTGTGAGCGGTTTTTCGCAGAGCTTTTGGCCACTAGACTTGTTGAGTGTATTGCGCCAGATCCTGCACAACTAACCTTTTAACCAGCTGATAGTCCAGCACAGAGTTTTCTGCTTCTGAATAGTGTTATCAATGAAAGTGAAAATATTTTAAAACCGTTATCGGCGCTTTTCCAGGGTATGAAGTTCCGCATGACTCTGAATACCATCTCTCATCTAAATCATGTAATTCCCTTTTTCATGGTCGATTACATCACGACCGCTTCCAAGGCGCTACCACCAAAGTATTTGTGCAACAGTGGTACCATGAATCGAGATGTGAAGCAGGGTGTTCTCTATCTCAGCAAATGTTGCAAAGCATAATCCACACGATGATGCTGGGTAGGATTCATCAATACATACTGCATCATGACAAAGTTATCCTTAATAAGATCAGAAGCTACCTTTGGATACGACCCTGGGCGTTGTCCACGCTCGCGGAGCTTCAGAGAGCTTAAGACAAAGTTGCCTCTCATCAAGAGCAACACTGCTAAGGTAGAGACGACAAAGATCTCTATGTTAAACGGATATACCAATCATACCCAGCTCTTAATGTACGAAATAAAGCTGTATACACCAGCAGTGCTGTCCGAAAACGCCTTTGTAACTGTTCTTTCTTCACGTCTTACCTGATTTTCAGTCAATTCTGTCATTTTCTCCAGGAATGTAACTCTGTCCAGTTTTGAACACACACAAACACATACACTTACATGATGATACAGGCAGGTGGTCCTTGACTGCCTACCTACATCATCAGAGCGAGGTGTAATCTCGTCCTTATATGCCTTCCTGTTGATCCTATATATTTACAGTTTTTATTTTTTATTTTTTTTATTTATTAATTTGAACATGATACAGAGAAGTACAAAAGAATACAGTTAAATGCAGCATGCCAAAGCCACTTGAATGCATAGCATTACGGGCAGGCTTAAAATTAACTTAAGATTAACTAAGCAATGAAGTATTCAGTGGCAAAACATTATTGTAAACATATAACAATTAAGCACAAATGAGTATTACAAAAACAGGTCTTATGGTTGCTTGCATTGCTGTACAATCAGTATTTATTTATTTATTTATTTATTTATTTATTTATTTATTTATTTATTTATTTATTTATTTAATTTGAATATGATACAGAGAAGT